GCTGTTAATTAAAGGTGGATTTTTGTGCATTGATTTGGCCTTTAAAATGTGCTTTTATATTCTATTAACAAAGGCCTGGTTTCACAGACAGGGCTTAGATTAAACCAGGATTAGGTTTTAGTTCAATTAGGCCATTTAAGTAGCTTTTATAAAGGTGCCTTAGAAGAAAGAAAAAAAACATTACTAGTGTGCATCTTGAGACCAAACATATTTTAAGATATTTCAGTGCAAGTTGCTTTCAGTTAAAACAGCTCAAACATGCATTTTAGTCTTGGACTAGGCTTAAGCATCGTCTGTGAAATTGGGGGAAAGAGAGAATACAATATTTTCCGATGTAATCTAATTTATTACAGATGATGGATATTAAATAATAATATCTTTTAAAATATATCAGAAAATTATAGTGATATTAATCATGAAGCAACATTAACCCCCGGTTTCACAGACCAGGCTTAAAACTAGTCCCAATATGTCAGTGTCATTGTTTTGTCTCAAGATGCACACCAGTAATGTTTTTTTTTCTAAGGCACGTGTATAAAAGCTACTTAAATGAACTAAGGACTAATCCTGGCTTAATCGAAGCCCTGTCTGGGAAACAGGGCCTAAACGTCAAAAATATTACTGTAGCACAAACCAAAATAGCATTTTTACTGTATGCTTTATTAAAAAGGAAAAATAAGGAAGCATACAGGTATGGCAAGGAACATTTCTGTGGTCATGTTGCTACAATTAAATTATGCATATTGCAGGTACATACTAAGCATGTCCTCAGTTTGTGTTATATTTTTTATATTTTGCAAAATATAACACCTTCAGTTTTATAAATATTAATACTACTGTAGGAAATGGCAAATACAAATTGTATTTTCATTTAGCAGAAACTGATTCACATATATGCATGGAAAGTGTAAATTAAAATACAAAAGACCCTCCTCTCTATACACGCGAGTCTCTTTTTCTGTGGCCAGACACTGATTTCTCTTTATGTGAAGCCCTTATACTCAACATTTGTTTTTCTTGTTTGCATTCCAGATGGCACACACGAGTAGGATCTTTGCTAACATCACAGCTTCTCTATGGAGGCCCTACTGCTACATAAAACCACCTGTGGGGTCCAGCGAGGCAACACAAGCATGTGCAGGATGTGCATAATCAAGTAAGGCAGTAAGGTGTCGAGATCACAGAATGCGTCTTGCATGCCTGAGAGGCTGTTTGTTCTGGATGCATTGACTGAGATGGGTACACTTTGTTCCCCTGCCCAAACGAAGGCCGTGATTGAGTTCTGTTGACATACGGGTCGACTGAAAGCATGTGGAAATTTAACACTGCTACAATGACAAAAGAAGATTGCATTAACAACCCTGTCATTATTTGACTAATTGATTAGTGCAAACAGAATGTGTCAAATGTGCATTATCTTTCTTTGTAGATTTAGGTGAGTTTAAGATTTCTCTAAATGGATTATTTAGGGGAATAACAAAAGTAAGGACTGAGGAAGAGGACGCATGTCATATCATGTATAGCTTCAGTACATCAGTTTATCCACTTGGCGGTGGTAATGAGGGAGTGAGGAAAACAGGCCTTTCTTAGCACCCACCGTACTCTGCATTTGATAATTCATTATGAAAACTATCATTTGTATATTTTTTAACATTATGCAGGGTTTCCTCACTGTGCATTACTGTGTTTAAACTGGTCTTTAAGATTAGTGCAACACTCCGGAAGGCAAATATTTGCTCTGAGATTGAAACAATGCACCAGCTAATCTAAAGTGTGAGTGGGCCACCGTGTCAAATGCCTGCTGGAAAGTAACATTCCATTGTAAAGAGCCACTGGATGTCACGTGCTAATCTTTCAGCACACTTGAATGCAAAGTCAGGTGACATGTAAATGAGAAAATACAGGCCCACTTTATTCAAATTCCAGCTCATGTACCAGGAAATATTTCAAATATAAACTGAAGAATTGTAAATTTTAGCTATTTATATTGCATGCAAAAAAGGATATTTTTAACTGAGCTCTACATGTTATTAAGATTTTTTCTTTCAGTAGGTAATCTTAATAATCCTGTATGCATTGTATAACTTGGTCATAAGACAAATGACCATGGGAATCCTACATGACACAGTAAAGCTCAGTACAATTGGCCACACACACTTCAGAACACTCTAGGTATCAGAGGCGAGGTGATGACAGATAGTTTGATAGAAATCTGTGTTTTTGTTCCTACTGCTAAAGCAAGTCCTGTTTGATGGTACAGAGTGGATGGGACACAATGTACAGAGTTCAGGGGATGGGACTCATGGGAGGATCCCGTTGTCTTTACTGTATAGGAAAACAAACTCACTGAAAGCTATCTGGTTAATTAACTAAAGGGAAATGGCCTGAATTTGGTCGTTAAGTCTTCATCACACTGTTACTTCTCAGAAGAGTTTTGTCTCTGCTTAAGCTTTTAAAGGTTTTTTTTCATATGGTGTACACTTGGGTCAGTAAGATTTTTGCTTTAAATTACTTTTTTAATGTACCTTTATATATATATATATATATATATATATATAAGATTTCTGCTGTTCTTTTGAACATTCATCAAAGAATCCTAATAAAATGGATCATGGTTTCCACAAAAATATTAAGCAGCAACTGTTTTTTCAACATTAATAATGATGTTTTTGAACCCCAAATCAGCATTAGAATGATTTCTGAAGGATCATGTGACACTGAATACTGATAGAATTGATGTAATATATTGTAAAATATATTAAAATATAAAGCAGTCATTTTAAGTTTTTAAACAAGTATTTTTGAACAAATAAACGCAGCCTAGTTGAGCACAGAGACTTCTTTCACAAACTTTTTAACGGTACTGACTGCATAATGTATAGCACATTAGCTCACACACTGCATTGGCCACTTGGACCAGAAGTTAATTTTAATTCAGTCTATTTTAGGCCTCAAAGTGGTCATCTGCTCTGGCTCAGTGCTTGAGGTTACATGTGTTGGGCACTAGCGGAGCACAAAGGACCACAAAGGCCACGTGTCCACCACTATTGCAGCTGCAATGGCACTCAGCCCATGCACTATGTCAGTGACTGTAGCTGCTAATGTCTCATTGTGTATTTCAGTAGAGTAACGAGTGAGTGACCAGCACAAACTGTCACTGTGGGAACGGTTGAAGAGAGCAAACAGGCTGCTGTTTAGTTCTTCACAGTTGAAGCTCTGGACGAAGTGAGCCTTCATTTCGGAGGGCAAAAACATCTCGGCACACTGCAAAAATGCTTTTCTTACTTAGTATTTTTGTCTTGTTTTCAGTCCAAATATCTAAAAATTCTTAAGTCGAGACAAAAAAAAAACAAGACAAAATGGAAAAGCATTTTTGCAGTGCATCCACCTATCACCTTCTCACGAGTCATTCTCTCTCTCCGTCTCCGACTTTTTATTAGTGGGGCCCAGAACCCTTAGCAAACATGGCATGTTTAACATACCTGCATCGGGGCACTGCAGTTGAAAGGACCTTCTGTCAACCAACCCGCACCCTTAAAGGAGGCTGCGCTTCAGCTCTTTGCCTTTTAGAAAAATCTGCTTCGTTTGATGCCTTTAGCTGATCCTCTCTGTGTCTGTAATTACAGCTATTATTATTCTCCCTTGTGACTTCATGAGTCAAATCACTATTGTGACCGCATAATGGGACGTTATGTGCCTCGCTCGGATAATTGCTAACAAGAAAACAAGCAGGTCACTGTCGTCTTGGATGAAAATATCTATTTCATGGTTTAATACCGGACACGCTTTATCCAAATGCTCGCTGTTATCTAATATGTGGGAGCATCCCAAGGCCACATTGTAAGAAGAAAGTGTCTCGTAACAGTTGCCGCTGAATAATGTGTGTCACACTGCTGTGGCTTGCTGGTTTGTGTATGATGGCTTGAAATGCAATATGCGTAATATTGTGTTAATTTTAATCACACAATATGTGGCTACACCTAAAAGTCTGCTGCATTATGAAACCGGTGGTCATAATAGATTTCGGAAAAGCCATGAGAGAAATAGCAATGACCGAATCATAAATTAATCATTAAAAAAATATTTTTTTTATTGAATCGCAAAAACATTCTTAATGATTCATTTAGAAATTAGACTGGTCCAATAAATGTTCAACTGGTCCAATGTCCAATTCATGAACAAATCATTCTTTTGAATATGATCTTTTCAATACATTTAGAAATTAGATTGATCCAACTCACTTACTCAGTGATTCTGGACTTATATAACCATATAGCAAACAAATCACAGTTTTTTTGTTAAATTTTTTATACTTTTATGGCGTTTTGTGATTTTTTTTCTGACTTTCTTTGTGATTCCATGAAACAAAGGTTATACAGGTTTGGATTGACATGAGAGTAAGAAAATAATGACAGAACTTTGGTTTTTGGTTGAACTATCCCTTTAAAGGGGAATGTGTAATTTTGTACAGCTAATTGTAAAAAGAAACAAAAAAAACCCAGCTGTTTCCAACATATTTCCTGAAAACTGTAATTTCATTGTCCAGCCGAAGAGGTATTTTTCTACTCCAAACTCATGCCATGGACAAATAGAGCGATATTGAAATAGCAGTGTTTACACTTTTTAGGAAAATCAAACTACAGTAGCCTATAAATGACTTCCTTAATGTAGTCTCTGCATGTTAAACTGGAGAAAGTATATTTGAACTCTGAAAACTTTAGACTCATCAGTGAAGTTTACCAATGTCCCCAATACATTTTTTTGTGTGTTCTTTATATTAAAACACTAACCACATATTGGCCACACATTTATAAAAATATCAAAATGTTGCAGTTTGTGTGAATGAGCTCTGAATGTAGCCTTTGACTGGATTGGGGGAATTTGAGTCTAATAATACTGACTGGGCACTTGAACAAGAAACTGAAAAAATCTCGTCTTTCTCCTCTCCGCAGACTGTGATTACACTGGATATATTTGACTGGTTTACTGTTTACAAAGGAGTGCTCAGTTTTGTTGTAAACCCAGTCCAGTGGGTTGGAGTGGCGCTGGACTTTAAAAAAAAAAAAGGAAAGAAGTGAATAACGCACTTGTTTGTCTGGACGGCTGTCCTTGCTGTGTGCCATGAATTTCTTCAAAAGCTTTTGCCAACTTTCCCACTTTCCCCTTTCTAAGGAACTCGGAGCGTATCTCGACTACGATTCCTCCGCACAGGGCACATCAACGACGGTCATCCGGGACTCGCCATGTCAGCAGCAAGAGGACGCACAGATCGACCACAGGTATGCTGAGACGTCTATAAGCCATTGGTATTTCTTTGGGGTCTGCGACATGACATTCCTTATTTTCTTTCTCCTGATCTCTGTCCTCACGTCGGGGTGCAGAATGTTCTGTGTATTTAGAGGAAGGTGATCATGTAGTTCTCTCTCTTCTGAAGCTGAGCATCACTCAAAGAATCCATCAAATATCAATTAGTGATGGACTGCAAAGACAGACTCAACATTTAATGTACCTGAAGATCAACAAAACATGCACTTACCAAACTATTACTGGGGTCAGGAGGATTGTCACAAACCTATGACAACCAAAGCTTCCCAGGGAGAGAATTACAACACTCGGTTGGATGGAAACTGTGGAGTTTTCAAAAGGTCTATTTCTAGCATCATGATTTTTTTTTACTTTTTAGACCACCATAACTTTCATTTAGGGATAAAATACAGTTTGAAGTTCAGTTACGTGTTTGTTTTTTCATAAAGGGATAGTTCACCAAAAGTGAGAATTATCTCTCTCATCATCATTCATTCATCATTCATCTTTTATTCTCTCTCATGTCGTTCCAAACCTGTATGACTAAATTTCTTTCATGTAAGACAAAAGAAGATTTTTTTTTTTGTAATACTCATAAGGAATTACTAATTATTTGAAATAGTATAAAAAGTGAAAAGCATGATAACTATTGTGTCACTCATTTATTTCTGTGTAGGTATTCATTAATGATGGTACATTATTCTAAAGTGTTGCCACAATTTCAAATAACTGTTTTCTACTTAAATACATTTTAAAATGTAATTTATTCCTGTGGCGAAAGCTGAATTTTCAGCATCATTACTCCAGTCTTCAGTGTCACATGATCCTTCAGAAATCATTCTAATGCTGATTTGCTGCTCAAGAAACATTTCTCATTATTATCAGTGTTGAAAACAGGTTGTGCTGCAGCTGCTTAATGTTTGTGTGGAAACTGATACAGTGTCAATGATTCTTTGACGAGTAAAAAGTTCAAAAGAACAGCATTTATTTGAAATGAAAATCTTTTGTAACATGTCTTCGCTGTTACTTTTGACAATTTAATGCGTCCTTACTGAATAAAAGTATTACTGACCCAAACATTTGAACAGTATATTTTGCATTTTTATGCATTTTTTTCAGAATTTTCTTTTTATGGTGAACTTTCCCTTTAAGGTTTTATTCAATGACCTTTTCGGACATGCTTCTATTATTAGTGGCATATATTAAATTCCACTTCCTAGGGACAAATTCCTGCAGGATTTGTTTGTCATAGGACTATCCTTGCCTTACATCCATCTGCCAAGCATGTCCCAGTAAATGTCCAAATGTTGACTTGTTAATTTTATAACAACATTATATTATTATGTTTAATAACACTTGCCCATGGCCTGAGCAGCGAAGACAAATTAGTTATGAAACAAAGGTCTCAGTCCGGTCACTTACAGCAGAACGACACACCATCTGTCTGAGAAGCGTGGATCGGCGGGTCTCCAAACTAATCCACGGTCATGACTGTGAGGTTGGGATCCCATTTCCTCTGGATTACACAGCACTTGCAGGCAGGGTACTATACGAAATTACAGAACACGCTGATCCCTGTGAAAAAGATTGCCAGATAATGCGCTGATTCATCGGATGTCAAATCCTATCTGAACTTGGATATGTGCATTACAGGAATGCGATAACATATATTATTAGGGATCTTTTGACATTTAAAAGATTTGTGCATATCTAAGCTATATTTCTTTGGCAGTGCGATTTACATCTAATTCTCTTCAGTGTATTTTTGTATTCTCTGCTGAAACCTTTGGAGTGTTTTTGTGAAGTACAGGATGATGACTGGCATTTCTGGGAATTTGGCTACTACTCTTTGACCTGATGGCACATTGGTGCCACTTGGACCGGGCTCTATAGTGGGCAGTAGCACCTGATCTGGCATCTCTCACACTAGTGGGACACGTTTGAAAGCAACACAGCCACGTGTTGAATGCATTTCCTTCAACTTCGTGTCATTTTCCCCTGCTTTTTTACTTGCTTCATGACTGCGTGTTGAATTCATATTGAATTTCCGTGGAAATCCAAGCAACACATAGATCTGTCTGGATCATGTCCCGTGATGCAGTGCTGCTGTTGCAGTAACAATAATACCAAATACTCTAATGCACCGTGGAATTCTGGGAGAAATAACTGATTCCAGATGTGGGATGAAATACAGATTTGCACAATTATGTTGTCATCTATGAAGGGGTCCTGTAAAGCAGTCACATTGTGAGATACAGTGCATTTTGTAGCACCATGTTTTTATTATAATAAAACAAATGTGCAATTTTTAAGTTTAATATGTAGTTTGATGATTTTGAAACTTCAAATGAAGGCAGATAAGGGTGATGCAGTTATGAGGTTTACGCTGAAGGCCATTGAAGGTTATGTAAGTGCATTAAACAGGGTTATTGGTAATTAGGTTTGTTTGATAATAATAACACTGGTTAATGTTTAACTCTCCTCCTCTGATTAGTCGTCTGTCTGCTAGATGTTTGGTCACCACAGTGACAGTTGGACACAGATATCTTATAGTTCATGTGTAGATGAACACAGAATGCCCACTGACTTGATGAAGACATCTTCTCAAAGTCACAATCAGAAATAGTAGGAGTACTGATTTTATACGCTTTTACAAGCTTTACTAAAAAGGCTATTCTTTATCGCATTTAGCTTTAAATAATAATTTACTGTATAATGACAAGCAAAATGGGTCTTCTATTAAAGTAAGAAATATTTTTTGAATCTGACTCTCCCAGTCATAAAATGGACTGGAAAAGCTGAAGCTGAACTGAAAAAATGTTAAGTTAATTCTGTCTGGACATTGTCAAACTCATTTTTATATACACTTACTCATAGGCCACGTTCACACAGCAACAAAATACGGTTGTCAATCCTGTATTTGAGTCCATAATTCGGTTACGTTCACACACAGATCAGTTATTTACAACCGCATTCTATAACTGAACTCACACCCGTACATTTTTAGGACTCACAACTGCTTTCTTGGAAAACCCTTGCTGTGTGAACAGAACCGGAATGGACATCTATTGTCTATCATGTGTGGTTTTGGTATCTTACATCTATGGAGATATGAGCTGTGTGTCATCTGAATGTTTTAATTTCCCAAAAACTGACAGTGTGAATAGCCATAAAAAGTCTGTGAAGGTTTATCTGGCTTAAAGTCGTCATGAAACAGAAGTTGCAATAGTCTCTTCTTCCCTATGTATTGTGATATATATCCAAGTAAAATGGCTTCTCGAACAAGAAAAAAACACAGGACGGGACTTGATTTTGTCCATCGGGAATTGATTGGATAGTAGTGGTTTGCTATTGGTCGATCTCATGTGAGTGACAGGTTGCTCCTCCCTCTCACCAGCATTTTTTTGGTGTATGTCACTGAGGTGATGCATGTGGAATATACAGGGACACTGTGAACCAACTAGGTCACGATGCGCCCTGGATTCAAGCCTGATGGGGTCCTCAAGGGTCAAAGCTATCAGAATGAGATATGCGAAGTGCATATTCCCTCACCTGTGGGAAGGGGTAATGGGGCCCCTTTCACAGGGGCCTCTTGGTGAGAGATCTCACAGAGGACATGTTGCTCCAGCCTGTGAACACATCCGTGACCACCCCGCAGACACGATAAGCTCTTTGATAGAATGGTTAAAAAGTAACAACTGAAAGAAAATTGAAACTGGCACAGCTCTGCTGTTGACATGTCTCTAGAGAATGTTTGTTTAAAGATATCGACTGACACTATAGCCATATTTGAATGAATAACGCCCCAACCTGAGGTTGCGATTGTGTCACGTCTGTGATGAAACACCTTGATCTTCTTGATTTAGTGTCCTAGTGACAACATGATTATTGCTTTGTGGGTTTGACATGATACACAATTCAGCGGATGTTTGCGTTATAAGCACTCTTAAGCAGTGAATAATTATATATATTAAAGCAATATTTCAAATAAATGCTGTTCTTCTGATCAAAAATCTGAACTTTGTGTAAAAAACAAATTTTTTTTAAATGTATCCCAGTTTTCACAAATATTAGGCAGCAACTGTTTTCAACAATGATAATAATAAGAAATGTTTCTTGAGGACCAAATCAGCATATTAGGCCCTGTTTACACTTGGCACTAAGAAGCATTTTCATCAATCCGATTACCAGAGGATGACGCTAAATAGTTGTAAATGGGGTCAAATATATTTTGAGCTTGTCCACTTTCGACCACTTCCAGAGGTATTTGAAAACGCATTAGACCGGATTGCTTTCGTAGTGTAAACACTCAGGTGGCCGAATGCATTCGAGTCACAAAAGACCGTCTACTCTCCCCATACTGACCTAATGTGTAAACATTATGGGAAGCATGCTAGCCAGACAGGATTTAAATTTAGTTTGGTTTGAAGATGAAAAAAGTAGGAAAAAGTTAGGGAAACATATAATGTGATGAACTACACCTGTGTGAACTTTTCAAACGCCAATTGTTATAAAGTTCAGACAACTGTAAGCGTAGCTTAAGTGTCCAAATAGTTTTATGGCTACTGTAGATCTCAAAACAAACAGTCACACTTTGGTCTGGTTGTTTTCATATAACAGGCATGTGTAGCTCTTCTTTATCATTCACTGGTATAGGACACACACATGGCACTGCTGGGAGAGTGTTTGAACATGGCTTGTCACTGACAGCATGATTGATCGTTCATGGGTCAGTTGTCAGTTTAAGGTACTTTATCCAGTCACATCTGTCTGCGTTTCTTCCTCGACAGCACTTCTCAGAGAGAAGAAGGGAAGGAAACACAGCGTTCTTTAGTGGTCCAAACCAGTGGGTGCTCCGCACTGAAAGGCAGGAAAGCCCTGGAGGAAAGTCTCATGCGGAGATGTCACATGTGGAAGCAAAACATGTGGGGTTTTCTGAGGTCATGCCTTCTGCTTCCAAATTAGATTCTTTGGG